CATTAGCACAACATGGATATTGTGAAAAGTCATATGATTTCAGTAGATTGCCAAACCTTTCTTAAGGCTTAGCAATCAATGTTCTTTTTGTGCAATGGAATCCTTCCTTTAACATAATTCCCCCAAACCCCTAGGATTTATTATAAGAGGATTCCACCTTGCTAGTTAACATTCAAACAGGGAATAGAAATACAGGTGGAACTCTTTCCTGACCTATGTGCTGCATCGGCTGAGTACAGTTTTTTTTTAATTAACAAAAAGTGATTTACCCAATTCTTCCTTGTCAAAAATTCATTTAGGAACAATGCTGTTGCTGTCAAAACGTATATTGTATGTGTGTGTTGCAGAAGATTTGTGCACAGAGACTTATTTGTCTCCATATTCCAGTTATAGTTGTTATTAAAAGCGTTATATTTGCATCCAACCCAAATTCATTTTTTGTTAAATTTATATTCACGGGATCTTGAGGAAATGTGGCAGACGTGGGAAATTCCAACTTCACACAATCAGATCCAAACCTCAATACTTGTGAGTAGAAATGGAAAGAATCAGGGAAGAATGAAAAGAAAAAAGCCATTCACTTGTCCCTAGAGCATCAACAAAGCATAACATCTGGCAAGATTAAAAGTAACCAAACCTCCAATCTAGTTCAACAGACATTTTACTAAGATAATTCCAGAATCACTGGGTCTCTACGTTAGGAATTTTTTCTTTCTTTTTTTTTTTTTTTTGAGTTGGAGTCTCACTCCCTGGCCCAGGCTGGCGTGCAGTGGCATGCTCATGGCCACCCCAGCGTCGACCTGCTGGGCTCCGGCGATCCTTCCGCCTCAGCCTTCCAAGTAGTGGGAACTACAGGTGCAATCTACCACACCGGATAATTTTTTATTGTAGAGATGAGGTCTCGCCAAGTTGCCCGGGCTGGTCTCGAACCCGTGGGCTCAGACAATCCTCTCGCCTCGGCCTCCCAAATGCTGGGATTACAGACTGAGCCACGGAACCGGCCAGGAATTTTTTTCTTAAACTTGTTTTGCATAAGATGGGTGGGAGGTCGTTTGTGTGTTTTGGTGTGTTTGCTTTACTTTTCAGTACTTTTCCAATCTCGGGATCCCTTCTATGTCATTTTGTCCTGGTTTCTCAGACTCCTTCAATTGTGAAGGGCCTGCGCAAGACTACTCTCTTATCTTTCGAATGTACTGATCCCTTCTTCTCATAAAAATCTACCTGTCCTTCATTCTTGCTTTTCACTACCTGTTTAATCCAGTTAATAAATCTGTCTTTGACATTGGCTACCGATAAGGGCCTAATTCTTTTTTTTTTTTTTTTTGAGTTGGAGTCTCACTCTGTCGTCCAGATTGGAGTGCAGTGGCCGCTCCCGGCCACCGCAGCCTCGACCTGCTGGGCTCTGGCGATCCTTCGGCCTCCGCCTTCCGAGTAGCCGGAATTACAGGCGCGCGCTACCATGCCCGGCTGATGTTTTGATTTATTGCAGAGATGAGGTCTCGCTGCCCAGGCGGGTCTCGAACCCGCGGGCTCAGGCAATCCACTCACCTCAGCCTCCCAAAGGCGCGGGATTACGGGCTGAGCCACCGAGCCGGCTAGGGCCTAATTCTTATCCCATTTATATTGCATGTGCTATTTAACAGTGACTCAGTGCCTCAACACAAATTTGCAGATAAGTCAGAATTGTATGAATCCTGACAAGTTCTGTTGGAGCACTGGGAACTAACTTTGGATGAATCACAAGATCTTGTGGAACCTCAGTTATGTTCATCTGAAACTAAGTAAATATTACTTACTTTACTGCAGGGTGGTCAAAGATAAAATGATAAGCCACAAGAATTATAAAATTCAAAGACCATTGATGATAGCATGTGAACTGTTTAATAATTTTAAAGTGCCCCAAATATATGATATCATTACTACTATTATTATTCTAGTTAATTTTACATATTTCTTCAAATATTCTACAGAAGGAAAGTACACTAAAAATACAACTTTTAGTAACTCTTGGGCGTTTTAGGGAACCTATCCCACAGGAGTCCTTTTTAAAAAATTTTTCTTCTATTTTAAGTATGAAATGACAGCCAGTTATACAAAGTCTTATAGGAGTCAGCTAATAATAAAATATTGAATGCCAAATGTCATTCTTAAATATCTTTTTAACTTCCCTTTATGCTCATCTGTTTATTTAACACTTTTTAAACAAAATAGGATTTTTAAGGTAAAGAAAGCTCTGGGAATACTTAGATGTAAAAATTACTACTATTAAGTCTTTATCAATCACTGATCTAAAATATTATATTTTATATTTAGGAAGCTAAAAGATCATAATCAATACCTGCTGCTTGGTATTTTCTTTTTAGGGTTTTCTTTTTGTTGTTTTATTTTTAATGAATGAATTCACCTGACAAATTCAGCTTTAAATTGCAAAGGCTATATACATGCTAAGAGGCATTCCAGAATATAGGGAGAGGAGTGGATAAGGAAGATTCCATAAGAATGACTTTCTTTATTTGGAAGTAGATAGGAATTCAAATCTAAATGTTGCCTTCACCTCACTTAAACATTCACAAAATTTAAAAAATATTCCAAGCACAGGGTAAACCACTAGGGAAAACTGTTTCCGAGGTCTATTCCTCGCTTATTAATATACAATATCCAACATGAAAAGTTAGCAAATAGAGACAGCATATGTTGAAACTACTCTGCATGATTTTCAATATGTGTGGCATATTTATATTTTTGCAGAATATGACTCAAAATTTGCTTCTAAGTGTTTTGTATTTCTTACAGTAATAAAGTTTAAAAGTTCTATTATTCCTGTTCATCATTAATATTTAGATCAAGTCATAATTTTCTTCTTGATTTACTAAAAATACTAGCCTGAGAAATATTACAGAAGTATTTTTTAACTTACATCTAAAATATCATTACAGTATTCTAACATAATTAGCTTTTATTTTAATTCATATTTTCTTCATAAAATCAGCTGCCACCTAGAAATTGTTCTGTTCAGGAAACATATTTATTATTGTCATTTTTTATTTTTATTTTTAAAGAAAGCAGGATTTATTGAGAAGACAGAAAAGCTCCCACAATGGGAGGGGACCCAAGGATATTGCCTATATTTATTATTTTCTCATGTATTGTTTTTATTTCACTTACAAAAAGTATTTCAATGGGTAATTTGACATTTAGTGGAACTGGAGAATTTTCGAGAATTTAAAATCTAATGAATGTAAATAAAAACAAACAAAATTAACTTTTAACAACTTTTTGCACTGGGAAAGCACTATGAACCCTGTGGAAAGAAAGCAAAAATCTCCAAGAGCCAATTTTGAAACTACTCAGAAGTTTGATCAAATAAAGCTAATTTTTCCCTTGAGTTTTTAGTGATTACTAAACAAGCTAAATGCTATCAACAGGATATATCTTGATCTGAGAAAGCCATTAAAAAAGAATCCAATGGTATCTATTTAAGCTTGCGGGAGAAATATGGACTTTTGTGGAAGTCACAGATGATAAAACAAACCTTTGCAAAAAGTGATGGATGACAGATTATCACAATTGAATGACAACAACATGCCTTTATCAACATGAGATTATGAGCCATACTAAAGTTCTTAAATGGTATAACATTCCTTTAAAAAAAAAAGTTAATGCAATACTAGGTTATAATCCAAAAATAATATTTTGTTCCAAGCACATACCCCGTGATAATCTATATGTGGAAACATTACCTGGAACCCTGGATTTGATTATGATATAACTCGAACATTACTGGGGACTTGGCAAACAGGAATATATTCAGAGAAAGTATCGAAGGTTTTGAAATCTTTGAAAACTACACAACTTAAGAATTGGTTGAAAGAACTAATTGTATTTTGGTTGAAAAATATAAGTCTCACATGGCTCATGCTAAGGGCTTTTAATACCTAAACATCAGTTAAGTGTAAGAAGAATTAGATTTAAGTTGTCACTTTAGGAGTAGAACCAGGACAAATGGTTGAGAGGAAGGAATCGATATCCACCTGGCGAAGGGGGGGCACACCTCATCAATAAGGGTACTTGCACAATGAACATTTGTATATGTAACCCTGAATTGTACCCCACAATTTCAAAATAAAAATTTTAAAAAAAATAGAAAAAGAAAATATCTAACAAACAGAAATAAACAGTTTCTAAAAGAAACAAGACAGCACTAGAAATATCAAAAATGTGCAATAGAAGTGCAACTGACTAGTGTTCAACTCCTGACATCACCGTTCTTTTAAATTTGGGACCTTGGTCCAGTTACTGAGCTTCTCTGAGTTTCTGTTTCCTCACCTATACACTGGATATAGAATGCATAGAATGGAGGATCTGTGACTACAGCTCAGAATGCTGAGGTAAGGGAGAGGAAATGCTGAACAAGATGGTCACCATGGTTCTTTCTATTTCTGAGATTTTGCCATTATATACTGCCTTATATATTATAAGGTAAAATATAAGACTTTTCATCTAATGGTGAAGAATTATTGTTTTAAGCTACATCATTCATGTAACATTATGGGCCTACTATGCGTAGATGCACTCTTAGGAATGCAGAAGCAAAAAAAAAAAAAAAGAACAGAAATTCTTGCCCTCACAGATGTGATATTATAGTGGAAAGAGATGGACAATTAAAATATGAGTAAATCATATAACATAGAAGAGGTCAGAAGTATTATAAAAAAATAAAGAAGGGAAATGCAAAATTTTAAATAGTGTCAGGGAGGCTACAATAAGAAAATAACAAATGAGCACAGATACATTAATTTCATCAGTAACGTTTAAAATTACTTTTATTATGAAGTATTATGAAAAATGTGCTGCCTTTAACCAAATCTTTTGATTTGAATAATGTTTCAAATTATGCAAACTTTGCCAGGCTCAGTGGCTCATGCCTGTAATCCCAACATCCTATTGGTAGTATATGCAGTTTTAGAGATTAAAAAAAATAAGTAGATGAATATACTTACAGATCCTGTTAATTTAGATGCTTTCTCAAATTCTTCGCCCTCTTCCATTAGTGCTTCTTCAGTCCCAGGTAAAGAATCTATTTTTATTTTTAAAAAATGAATAAATTATTATCACAGATTGCTTAGTAACTTTCTAATATGTAAATCTGTTGTAAGAAGGTTATTCAAGTGACTGATCTAGTTGTTGAGAAATCTTAGTGTTTATGAGTTAAGACAGAATGCGGAATAATACTTATTTATCTTAAAGACAACTTATGAAAAATGATAAATATTTCTAATTTAGAAGAGCACAATCAGGACAGGAATATACAAGAGCTACTGTTATGCAAATAAATAAACGTCTTTGGCATATTATTCAGCAAACCGCTGAAGCATATTGATATTTAATGCTCTTTTTCTGTTGTATAATTTTATATTTACTTGTTTTATTCATTAATTATTTTCTTCTGGGGGGCTACACAATTTAAGTACCATTTTGTGCTCTCTCTTTTAAATGGGATGGAATATTCTGAAAAGAATTCAGAGAAGAATGAATTCTATTAAATGACTGTAGACTTTCCAAGAAGTTGCAATTACCTAGCATGGAGAGGTTGAGGGATGGGTGACAAGTGACTTTCAAATATGTAAATAAAATGATGCAACCCTTTCCATTTGTCTGCTAAGTTAAATTAATAATAACAACAAGAATTTCTATAGGTTTTAAAGAATTCTGCAGCAGGGACAGATATATGGAACAACTAGAAATAATCTATACCAGAGACTGTCAACTTCCCTTAGCTGAGTTTGGACTTCTTTTTAAAAAAATCAATTAAGAGAAAGGTATTTTAAACCACTGGATTTTAAAATTAATTTCCTATATTTATTATATTATCAATGTTTTAATATTTATACTTGAGAGATACATATGAACCTCTAAATGTTTTCCTTTAGATTCATGAGCATATAGAGACAGATTTTTCTGTTGTGTAAAATGTGTACACCAGGAAGAAAATCAGAGCATTAAATCTTTCAAGCTCTTAATGGCCACTGAAGACCAGAAAGAGAATGGAAAGATTACACAAAATCCATAATCATCGTTTTGAATTATAGAACTCCATCTCTGATATTTAAGAATTTTACATTCAAGCAGAAAAGTTACCAATTACCAGGGCACACAGAACGATGAAAATGTGGATTTTGTTTTAGAATATGGAATGACTTCCATCATAAAACTGACTTTGGAAGAAACATATATTCTCAAGTTGTAGATAAATTTAAAAATTGTACCCATCACTCTTCCAAACAGAAAAGATATTAAAAAGTAACAAGTTTTATTGGATAAAATCAGAATGATAAGAATTACACCAAATTTTAAAAAATATTAATCTACTTATAAAGAATACTTGAGCCCCATCTCTTAAAATCCAATTGTAAGAATGATAATAGATAAATTTGTTAAATTAGAATGCAAATTAAACATGATTTAAGTCCTCCAAGGTTGAATTACAGTCTGCAGAACTGTGAGCAAATGATAGTATAATTTTAGTATTCACTCAGTATTTTTTGTTTTGTTTTTGTGTTAAAATTCTTATTTGAGTAGAATATTGACTTAATAAATAAATACCATTTAAAGTGTTTTATTCTATATTATAAGGCAAATTATATTCATGTATAGGACAAGAAAATCCACCCTCTTGCGAATTTGCTGATTTTTTTAAAGTTAGAAAGACTATAAACATGTTCTCAACTTCCTCTCAGTGAATAGTTAAGGGTTTTAAAGAAATGTTATCATTATGCTTGATTACTTGTATATAAATTAATTCATTCATCTATTTGCTATATTTGTATATTTGTGTATTCATTTATTAACAAATATTATATGCTAGGCAGTCTATTAGGTACTTTAAAACAGGTTGAACATGATAATTTTCTATGACTTTCTCTCATGGCGTTTGCTTGAGCACATTTACAGCACAGTATTAATTTTTTTAGCAAAAGAGAAAATATTGGTAATTTTTACAATTTTACATTCTGTTCTGTTCTTGTTTCAGTTTAATTCTTCCTGGTTATTGGTAACATGTCCGGTGAGATCTATGATATAGTAATATCCAGTCAATTTAGCACAAAGGGACAACGATAAAGTCCTGCCAAAATATTTGAGGATTTACATATCTGATTTATTTTTGTTAAGTCAAATGCACCCTGCCAAATAGTCCAAATCTAATAGTGGATACCAATCTAACAAGCTAATAGGGAGAATAAACAAAACAAAAATCAAATTGTAGTGTTGGATGCTAAGAAGAGTAAACTATTTTTAAGTGTTCTGAGTGCATTGTTTATTAACAATAATTGGTGGGTGCATAACTATTTTGTTCTATCTACTTCAGAGTAAGTTATTAATTTTATACATGGTTTTCAAAATACAAGTAACTTTTTGAGCTTTTCAAAATCACATATGGGTTGGTGGGAAAGGAGTCTCTAAATTTGTCAAATATTACAGAGTTTCTCTAGTCTCCTCATTTTAGAGAAGAAATTGATGCATGGAAAGACAAAGTAATTTTATCTGAAATCTCTACAGGACTTGGACTAGAAGTTTAGTTCCTATGGTTGATTGGTTATGCTGCTAAAAATCTGTAGTTTATCATAATGTTTAGCATCAACTTCTTCCTGCCATTGCTTTTACTTTTGCTGCTTGTGTCCAGTTTTTACGCACAAAATTACACCTATTTATAGAAATATTTATGTATGCTGAGCCAAGTTCATTGTGGATGCACAGTTGACATAAAATCACATTAGGGCTTTTGAATAATACCAATAGAAGTCAATTATTAGATCTAGTGATTTGACTAACTTAAGTAGAAAAGAATCCACTAATTCAGAAACTCATATTATGGAATTTCTTGATTAGGGGTACGAATATTTGGATGTAAAGAATGCAGGATATAAGCATTTCATGAAAGGAGCTTAAACTTAATGAATATTTTTTTCCAGTGGACACATAACTATAATCCACAACATATTACTGTTACATTATTTAATTTTTCAAGAAATTTAAATCCCTATAATTCTCAGTAATCATGTAAATGTGATGCTGAAGGAGATGAATGTAAAGATTGATGGATTGGAGTTGTTTTGCTATAAATTTAACCAGCAAATAATTAAATAGTGTCTGTCTTGTGCCTGGTTTTGTATTGGACATGAAGAGGAACAAAAGAAAATTTCAAAAAGTATATAATCAAACTGAAGAAAGAACAATCACATAAGAAGCAATTCAAAAACAATTAGGGGCTGAGAGAAAGAAAACATTCCTGTGGGCTGGACATCGTAAAGACTTAGCATGATCTTAGAGCAGAGGATCTGAATAGATGGAAGGAAAAAGAACTTAATACTAGTCAGGGAAAATTGACCTAAATCAAGGTACACATGCAAAAATATCTGTGAGAATATCTTTGAGATTAAAAGCTCTGTCAGAAGCTAAGCAAGTGTCAATGAATGTCCAGCCTGGGGCTTCCATGTTGCTAGTGACATATTCTTCAATTTTCATTGTCAGGGTGAAAGTTCTATCATAAGAATCTGCCATGTCATCAATGCTATAATAGATTTACTTATGTATAAATGATTCCATTTATTTGTATTATGCTACACTTTCAATGGTTTATAGTCTCACAACACTTTTTTTTAATGTTTACTAGGTAACATTTGACATATAAAAATATATTTTTATAAATATAATATATAAAAATATATAATGTATGTAGATATAGTATAATTGAGCTACAAAGCACAATGATAAAAGAAACACCCAAATCCTCCATTTACCTCAATAATTAAACATTTTCAATAACCTTCATATTTCTGTGGGTTCCATCCTTATGCTTTCACCTGAGGATTACTACTATTTTGGGTCTATCATTCCCTTCTTTAAACATAGTTTTATCACTAATGTATATTTTTCTGAAGAACATATTATTCAGATTTGCTTGTTTTGAGCTTTATCAAGTAGCATTCTTTGACTTGCTTTTCTTCAATTAGCATTATGTTTTTAAGACTCATTCAGTAGTAAGCTGCAACTTGCTCTTACCATATTGGGAGGACCAACTGCCATTTTATGCTGGTTGCTTGAAATCAGCAACAGTGGGAGTATTTACACCATGAAAGTCATCAGTCTCTACAAATCAGGCTTCCTTTTTTTTCCAGGGTAACTGTTAAACATTTACCTGCACACCACTGATTTTATCCATCCTGTGTGTGGTTGAAATGCATAATGTTGTCTACGGTGTAATAATTCCACAATTCATCCATTTCCCTGTCCTTGAACACACTAGCAAGTTTGCTCACATTTCATGATACATGAGACTTGTTTCTCTAAGTTACTTATCCAGAAATGAAATTTCCAGGTTTTAGATTATAAAAATATTTACAATTTTAAAATAATGGAAAACTGTTTCCCAAAACTGTTGATAACCTATCTGCAGTGTATGAGTTTACTTTCTTTATTTTTATTTTTTTATTTTAAAGATGTGGGATACAATTCAGGATTAGGTATACAAGTGGTCATCCGTACAGGTAAAGTTTGGGCCTCCCTTTGGTCCCCACTTTGCCTGATTTGAGATCTGGTACCCTTATTGATGTTGTGTCCCCCGAGTTTCTTTTTACCAGCACTTAGTTTTGCCAGTTTTATTAATTAATGACAATCAAAAAGTTGTAAAACAGTATCTCACCATGGTCTTAATTTGCTTTTTCTTGATTACTGGGGTAGTTTAAATACTGGGGGTGCCAAAAAAGGCAGACACATCTTAAGAGATGTTCGCCATAATCAGAAGTGCCTGGATGCTGATTGTAACCACTTTGAGCACCTCTTATAATTGCAGAAGTCAAACGTGACTTGTACTCGTCTTACCAAGTATTACAATTTTAGTACAGTTTTTCCTTTTTTAAAATGTGTATACTTTTTATATGCTTATTTTTATATGCTTATTGGTCATTTGTGTTTCCTCTCCAAAAAATATGTATTCATTTCTGTTGTTTATTTTTCTGTTGGTCTGTTGTTTTTTTTGTTTATTAAATCATAGTTTTTCTTTACATTCTGAATATTAATCTTTGATCAGTGGCAAATACATTGCAAATATCTTTTCCCATTTTGTGGCTTTACTTCTGACATCTTTTGATAAGCAGGAGTTTTTAATTTTCAGCAGTTGAATGTTTCAGTTATTTATTTTATGAAGAGAAGTTTTTGTGTCTTAAGATGTCCCCTCTATTCAAGTATAAGGACAGCACTGTCCTATAGTTTGTCTTCTAACAATCCCAATTGGATGTACTGTTTCCTGCCTGGCCATTGACTGATGAAGAAGTAACATACAATTGGAGTAAGATGCAATTGGAGTAGCACTGTATTTACTTACTTATTCAGCAAACATTTTGAAGTGCTCTGACATTAACTTTGTGTGCTAAGTTAAGGAGTTTGAATTTTGCTTTATAGAAAAAAAAGGAAATAAGTGAGATAAGTGCCTTCATTTTTAGAAAGAAAACAAACTAAAGATAGGTAAGATAGTTCAAGGAGGGCTGGGAGAGAAGAAATATGATATTATCAAGTATGAAATTGATATTTCTGCCCAAGAAGAATGAATGGATCAATGATGTGAGAATGTGAGTAGGAGATACAGCAAGTTTCAAGGGTCAGAAAGTGAATTCCGTTTTCTGGAAAGCTAGCAGTCAACGTGAAGTTCTAAAACCACGGTAGAATTAGTGACATAAATTTGAGAGTAGCCTGCATATATTTGATCTGTTGGGACCTTAAACAGGACAGGCATAAGAGGCCATTCCTTAGACCCTACATTTCCTGCTTCCTCTTCTCTTTTGCTTTGCCTCCAACAAATACAACCCCCAAAGGAATGTGCTAGTGATGGACATGTGTCCATAGCTACAGTGATTTGGTGAAGGAGGAGATATTTGGATTAATTTCTTCTCTTTTTTTAATCTTTAAGTCCTACTAAAACTACATTAATATTGTTAGACTTAAACTTACCCAAAGAATCTGGGATTATTTCATCTGGAGAATGAAGTATTTGTAATGTCTCTTCTGTCCTTTCTGCCAGGTTGTCTCCTTGAAGCCTAAATAATTTTAAAAATTGTCATTGAAACATCTAATAACGTTAAATTGTGAAATATGAACTGCATATGAGAGGGGTCACGACTGTGAGCTTCTAGACTTTAAAATCAGATATACATCTTCAAAGTAAAAATACAAGTTTCCTAAATCCATTTTAATATAGAATTTTGCTTTTATAACCTTTAAGAAAAAGTTATCTATATTTTCTTGCAAATACATGGCAAGATTGGTCTAGGTAGAATCTGCTTTTCTTCTCAGCCTGACCGGAAAAAGGTATATAAGCAAATGTTTTCACTGAAACTACAAAGGGGAACTGAGTGGAAGGAAAACAAGAGTCCAACACAGTATGTTCACCTAACTTCAGGCTCTGCGAGTCATGAGAGAGGCTTATTACACACAGTTTTCTGAATCAATCAACCTGAGCTTAAAGGTCTGTGGGTCAAAGTCTCAACAGTAGAAGTAGAGATTCCTAATGCCTGTGACTGCCCAGAGGTCTCATAGACACTGGATATTCCAAAGTGGAAGATTGTAGGTACTTTTAAGACAATAGCTTTCTGAGCTTTTGTATCTTTATAGTGAGAAAAGAGGACCCACAATAATCAGTTCAACTCTGGATTTATATTACACACTAAAGCCACATTATCAAAACAAGTTGAGTACAGCAATACATGTTGGAAGTCTATCCTAAGAACAGCAGCATAAATATTGCTTTTGTAATATTGAAGGACAACCCAGAGACTGAAAATTTCTAACAGTGTCCTTAATAAATGCGAGATATAACATTAAATTTTTTAAAATGTAAATATAATTTATAGCTGTACTGGACTTGAGTGTTATAATTCTCAATCATTTCATATCTTTGCTTTTACATACCATGGTAAAATCATATAATAATTTGCTTTTGACTTTTGCAAATTCTACCATGTATGGATATCACTGTCTTTATCTTTTGTGTGATTATAGATAGTATAAACTGTACTTGCATTTTAATTTTTATAACATAAAATTCTGAAAATTTCTCTTCATATTATACATTTATACATAGATATTACTTTCTGTACATAAAACTATATTTACTGTACTGTATAAGATAATTGAAGAATCATCAAGGAAAATTTTCTGATACTTGCAATACTTTTTAAAGGTCAACTACATATGGTTTTGTACTTTTAATTAATTTTTAAATTTACTTTTTAAAATATAGTTTTAAACAAATAAATTGACTACATATTTCTCAAATCTTTCCTACTATTTCTTCATTTTTCTCACTTTCAATAATTAGGAGAGCTACTTTAATAATCAACAATATAAAATATTCTTTTTTGAGCTCTTTTTGTTCAGTAACATTTTATCAAAATTATCAAAGAGGGCAACCCCCTCGGGTCCCCTCCTACTGTGGGAACTTTTCTTTCCTCTTAATAAATCCTGCTAAAAAAAGAAAAAAAATATCAAAGAGCTAAAGTAAAGGGATATCTGGGATTTTGAAAGGAGTATATAAAAATTATTAAAAATTCACAATGAGCTCTAAAACATTTGGATATTTAACATCAAGTTGAAACCCTGAAAGGAAAGCAAATTTTCATCAAAGACAGAAAGAAAGAAGACATGAAAATTATGTTGTAATATTTTTGTTCATTACATGCATCAATAAAACAAAATATTTATTGTTGATATATTAAGCAGCAAGTCAAATGTTGTAGAGGTGCAAAGAAATTATAACTGTTCCTAATTTCATAGTCTTCAGTCTAGGTGTGTTGAAGAGACAAATGACCATGAATAGAAAACCAACAAATTGGGTGGCCCTGAAGCTGAAGCTGGCTCCTCTTTGTCTAAACACTGCCCTCCAGATACCTTAAGAGTTGAGTCTACCGTGACTTGGCACCAATTCCATTGCGGAATGCTTCACAGCCCAGCTATCCTTGAGTGCTCTGCCAATGTTTCCCAAGCTGTAATCCACACAGCGCTACTTCTGTAAGAGGTTAATAGGTGCTGTGCAAACAAGGGGTATGTGGCAAATCCGGGAAATACAGTCTTCATAAAAGATTAAATTGTTTTTGCATTTTTGGTTTTTTACCACAATAGTTTTACTCATACTCCCAAACTTTTTCTCTTTGCTTTCTAAAACCCCTCTTCCATATTAAATAAACTCTCCTTATATTTTCACCCGCTACACAGAATATTTTCTAATTTTCTTTGTTGTAACTGACACTCTTTTCCCCACTGAGAATGGTACATCCCTTTTCTCCTCTAAGACTACTCCAATGGAGACTGCCTGACCTCTGGACCTCAGGTTACACAGGATTACATATATTAATCTTCCTTCTCTCTGCCTGTAAAGATTTTACTCAGACTCAACTTTTCATCTTCAACTCAGGTGTCACATTATCCTGAGTGATTTTGGTGTTCTTGTGTATCTACCTGCCAATCTAAAAATCCTTTGACCCTGGCTTCATCTTCCTTCCCTAATCTAAGGACTGACAACTCAGAACCTCTCGATGTCAGAAAACTATAAATCTGATATTCTGTTCTCTGAAAACAAACTCACCTCTTTCAAGCTCTTTCACAATCTTACTCTCCATAACACCTTCTCTTCAACCAAATCTAGACCTCCATTTTTCTCTGTTTTCTCCCAGGTATCTGCCCCCCGTCCCCGATTCCTTTCCTTTCCTATTCAGCTAGTACTCACTGTTGCCTCAATTCTCTTGCAACCCTGTCCTCCTGTCATTTCTGCCCAAATAGACCCCAACTCTGTATTCATCCATCATTTGTATGTGCATGTGATGCAGAACAAGGAAAGTAAATCATCCTTCTAGGACTGGTTAGTACAAATCAGTGGTCTCCAAGTTTAAACTTGGGCCCCTTGATAGTCTTTCTTTCATTCCTTTCACAGTCTCTTCAGAAATAACACCACTCTTCTATATCACCCAGAAAAATTATATAATCAGAAATAAAGACCTTCGACTGGCCCTCACACACCACCTCCAGAATTATCTTCACCCTGATCCCTATTCACTACCTTTCTAGTGCACGGATGGTGAGAGGCCCTATCTCCTGGGCAAGGCTTAAAGCATCCATTAGACTGGTGATTTGGATCTCATTATATCCTCAATCCTCTGGACCTCAATCTGTTTTATACACCATCAACCTACCACCAGTATTCTTTCTATTCATCTCCAGTATCATTTCCCAAAGCATATTAATAAGCTCACTTATCTTTTGTCCTCAAAACAAAAAAAACACATGAATAAAATTCCTCCCAGAAATATCTAAAATGGCTAGCCATTGCTTCTTCCTGCCCATTCTCTCTGAGTCAAACTCTCATATTCTTCATTCAATCCTTCACTTCCACAGTTTTCATTCACTCCTCAATCTGTTTTAGTCTGGTGTATGCAGAAAACGGTTTCCACTAACACTGTCTGATTTTCTAATTGTTCCCAGTGGAAACTTGTCAGACTGTTGTACACCTCCTCATTCTTCGGGCAGCCATTGCTTTTCTTCTGCAGCCCATCTCTCTCCTGCATATCTGACTACCTCTATGAATGTCTTCTCGGTCTTCTTTAAAACCTTTCTTTCTCTATTGACCTTTAAATATTTGTTTTCCCCTCAACTCTATCCATGGCCCTTTTTTTCACTCTATGCCATCTCCCTAAATCATTTCATCTACTTTTGTAGTTTTGAGCACATAGGTTGAGATATTTGAAATGTTTATCTTAAAGCATCAGCTCAAGATTGGTGTATCCAAATTATTTTAAGACATTTTACTTGGAGGCATTATAAGCACCTCAAAGGCAACATGTCAAAAGCAAATTCATCTGCTTTATCATTCTGCCTTTCACTGCACTTGTCTAATCAATTCAAGTCTTGCTTATTGTACTTCCTAGAGAGATTTCTTGAATCTATCACTTTTTCATACTATTGCTATAGTATGAATGATCATTGTGATTTGCCTAGATTATTGTGTAATTTCCTTACAGATTTCCATACTTAGACACTTGCCCTCCAAAAACTCATTTTTCATATGGCTACCAGAATGTTCAAAGCACAAATCCAAGTATATTATTTGGTGTTTTACATATTTTAATGCACAAGGTCTTAAAATGAATATTATTAGTAGGTCCATAGATAGCCTTAATGGTATCACAATAATTCAGAGAGTGGAAAGAAGAGTTTTGGGCAAATGTAATCCTTTTTGGAGACAGAAAGAGAGAGACAGTAATTTTAGCCAATTTCTCAAAATAAGCCTTGACTTATAAGGATTTCAGAACTACCATTTTTATTGGCTTCACATTACCTGCAAGATGAATTACGGCTTCCTTAGCAAGTCATCTGAGTTTCTCTGTTGCACAACCCTTACCTATGCCTGCAAATTCATCTTCTTAGATCTTCTACCATGCATTTTATGCTCCAGAAACTCCAAATTACTTTTAATTTTTTACATATATTTTGTTATTAAGTCTCTGTGTCATTACATACACCATTATCTCTGGCAGGATATATCCCCCCTTCATACACATTTTTTATTATTTGGCTTATTTCTAGACTTAAAATTTTTTAAATATATATATATTTTTTAATACGATCTTTTCTTTTCTGAAACTTTTCTTCCAGGAGTCTTCACACTTGTACAAATCTTTGTCATAGCTCTTACTTTACTGTATTTTGATTGTTAATACAGATGCCTGTGTTTGTTAACACACTGAAAGTAACTTAAAGGCAAAGATTTTGATTTCCATATTTTTATGTCATTAAAGTATAGCTTAGATGGAGCTTGATACATTTTAAAAATGATTTCTTAAGCCAGTTAGTGATTATTTCACCTTGGAGATAAAGAAAGGAAAATGTGACCCAGTCTATGTACAGGGAATTTTGTATAGAATATTATAGTATAGTTTTAATGATATTCCCTTGAAAAGTGGTAAAAATCATCCTGTGTATATTTAATGCTAAGTAGTTCTTATCCCGGGTCACCCTAATGCAGGGTGTGAAACAAAAGCTTATGTGT